TCCTCAGATTAAAATTTCGTTAATATTGTTCTAAAAATCCCCTTAAAAAAAATTGAAAAGTCTTTTCTAAATAATTTCTATCGGTCATGTGCTCTGACCTGATCTTTTTATCAAATTATATAAATCCTTAAAACATTTTTATCAAAGCCTGGTCCCTTTTTTTCTCTTTGACTTTTCATTCACAAATAACAATTCCCAAAAAATTCTTGAAATTGTTATCTCTTTGTTGGCCTAGATAAAATTTTCAACTGTTTTTTTCAGGAACATAAAAAATTTCCAAAATATTTCTCGACCTCTCTTTGATTTTTTTTTTCCTCTCAAAAATTCCCTGTTCCTTCCTTTTCTTTTTCCTAACATTTTATTTTTTCTTTTAGGATCGTCTTTTACAAAAAAAAAAAATTATTTTAATTCAATTATTCTGAAAAAAAAAAAAACTAAATTTTAATAAAAAAAAAAAAAAAAATCAATTTTAATGTATTTCTTTTTTTTCTAATAATTTTATGTTCTTTGTATTTTTTTTATATATATATATATATATATATATATATATATATATATATATATATATATATATATATATATTTAAGTGTGAGTGAATGAATCTGGAAATTGTGGGTGTTTTAAATGAATTGGTGAAATTATGTCATTTAACTTCAAATTGGAATACAAGTGAATGCATTATATTAATATTGATTTTTTGCACAAAGCCAACATGAATATGAAGGCAATTCCTACAAGAATGTAAAAAATTAATTTTTTATATGTACTATTGTGAACATAAAAACAATATATATTTATATTTAATGGGCATAAACCATGGAAATTTTTTTGTTAACATGAAAAACATACATATTGAAAAGTTTCCAAAAATAACGATCTACTATATCAGAGTAATGAATTTATCTTTTGTATGTAGGCATATTAAATGTAATATTATGTTTTTGATAAGACTTTTTTAAAATATAGCTATAAAAAAATTTTTCAATGAAAAATTTATGCATTACAATTATATGTCCGTTATTTTATATATATATATATATATATATATATAATGGTTCATTTAATATTTATTTAATTTCTTGATTTTTAAATTTATATCATAAAAATATTTTATTGCCCATTAAATATAATGTTGTAATTTAGGTTCAAAATAATATGTATTAAAATGATTTAATTACGCTAGAGGCCCATTGAAGATATTTTTAAAGTATATACAAAAATATTTTTTAAATCCTAAATATAACCTATTATTTGTATGAATATATATATATATATATATATATATTTCAATGTATCTTAAGTTATATTCATAAGCGGAAGTAAGCTAATGGTGACGTGTTTTAAAATGTCAGAGCAGGACAGTGTTATTTCTATTAAACCTAACATTCAACCTATATTTCTTTTGTTGCGTTAGCCAGAACGGATCTGTCTTTTGATTGGTTAATCTAGACATACCCACAATTTTTTTAAAATTTTATTTCCCTTACATTTTAACTCTTAACCTACCGTATTGTTTTCTGTTTTCAAAGTAAATCATTTTTTCATCATAAGCTACCTAACATCGCCTGATAATGGAACAATTTCCGAAACAAATTTTTATGTCGCGATGTAAAATATTTTTTAAATAAAAATATTATGTAAATATTATGCTCTAAGTTGTATTGAGCACTGTTTAAAAAAAGTAAATGCTAAAGAACTGTGGATTCTTAATCTGTCTGTTCTTTCTCTTTATTTGTATATATATATATATATGTGTGTGTGTGTGTGTGTGTGTGTGTGTGTGTGTGTGTGTGTGTCCATCTGTACATGTATATTGGGCGCATTTCATTAATAAAACAATGTCTGATAAACATGCACATATTAAACAGACACACATTTACAAATATACATTATCATCTGAATCCCACATAGCCAAACTAGATTTTTTATACACTCATATACATAAAGCAATATTTACGGTTTTTCATTTAGGTTTGGAATCTGTCAATTTTTTGAAACTTCGGATAGACGCATCGCCTCTCTTTGAATTCAGAACGCTACACAATATACTAACGTTGGTTTCATAAGTCGAATGAAAATCAAACGCAAAGTAAAAATACCAGAATTTCTTTCTACTTTTTCTCCATATCTCATTCTCTAATGAACCTTTCATGAAAGCGAAACATTTTAGATTGATAAACGTTTCCTAGTTGTTTTTTTTAAATCTTATCATTCTGTCGGATTCCAATCCATATTTAATCTATTTTTAATACCGAATTTTAAGCTCAAATCTATCAATTTTAAGAAGCCTTGCTTTTTTAAATCTTTTTTTAACACTGAACGAACGTTGTTGTTAAGGGCGTTCACGTGAACACTTGTGATGAGAAAGGCATCTTTATGAATAATGAGATTATATATATTAGAAATCTATTGTTCGTTAGAACAATTGGCTATTTCAGAATATAACCTGGTATATTGTTCTGTTGTGCTTTCTTCATTGCATTACTAGATGTAACCGTAA